CTGTTCCTCCTTATACATGTGGCTTCAAAAGCATCACACCTTCCCAAAGTGGCTTCGTTTTGGGGTCTGTAATTCTCAATATTAYGGCACCAAATTCATTATAGCACATCTGACTGTTGCACAGCTTTTCCTTTTTCCCTTGGTGAGAGGAAACAGATTTTTTTCGCTCTAAAATGACATTTTGGGGCAACATTTGACATACTTGTGCTGCTGCTGTGGGAGAGTGAGGGTAACTATATAAAATATTTGAGGTAACTATATAAAATACATTTATCTCACGGAATTGAGGCAATGCACCACTGAAGCAGAGGACTTGAGGATGAGTGAGACCCACACAATCCASTTASRGTGCTCTTTCTGTCTTSTACAGCTTAATTTGCAGTAGTGATTTGGTCACTACAATTTATGGTTCTCTGAAATTGTGCTTTCAGATTCATAATCACCAAAATGTGACTGGGATGTTACCAGTATAAGCAGATGTGTAATTTGACCTGGGTTCTCTTGGATGTCTGGTTTTCCTGTCCTGTAGATTTCAGGCACTGGGTTGATTCTGGATTTGTTCTCATTTTTACTCTCAATTTTTTTCAGTCTGATAACTGTGAAGGTTCATTCATATATGGATTTATCCATTTTTCTAGCAGGTAATCAGAATTTTGCTGTGTGCTCATGTACTCATAGTTCTTGTTCCTGTTACTGAATCATGTTCACTGGATTGGTTTYTTTCCATTACATGTCAAGGGTTTGGATTTTAAAAAAAAAAAGCTAATAAATGCATAAAGACAGTTCTAAAAATGGCGTTATTATCTGGGGTAACTTGGCTTTAAAGTGTTTGAATGTTATCATGTCAAGGTACATTTGTAAAGGGAAAGAACTTGTCAGTGTCATCACTGAGCCTCTGATGGTCAGCATGACCCTAGACTTTAAAGACAGTAATACCTTTCCTGTCTCTGAGATGGAAAGAGAAAATTTGGGTTATTATGCCTTTTTGGATTTGCTTTTGAATGCTCAGTGTGAATCACTGACTTAAGTTGAAAAATTTTCTGTAATGTCCGAGCAGACTCCAGCTGTCAGTCCTTGTTCACACCACAGCCCAGTCTTCCTTCAGGAGCCATCTAGCTTCCTCTAATGTAGCTTTTTTTGCAAACATGTCCTTTATGATTGATTTATTATATTTTTTTCTACTTTGATAGTTTCTGGCGAGCTCCCACCTGAAATCCATTGCAGATTTTCGCAAAAAATGCTCTTTATTTACCATTTAATTTTTAAGTGAAGTTTCCAGCAGTCTCAGCTATTCAAAAGGGAATTTTCATTGATCACATGCTGCATTAAAATTATTTCAGCTGAACAATTTGCTGTTTTGGGAAAAGAGCCATTTAAAGATTTTATGGGAACCTCGGTGGCATAAATTATAAGGTTAGTGGACCTAGCCTGGAACTGTCTTCTGGGATACAGACAGACATGTGATATTGACTGAAATATCAGCTTTCAGATGGTGTTGTTCCARTTTCCCTTGTACCTTTTTTCCTCCTAATTCATATCTTGTCATAAAAAACAAGCTGTAAAGAACCGGGACAGCTTGGCTGGTGTTGTCTGCTTTAATAGGATGTGTAAGCACTCGTCTGGTGAAAATAAAAAAAAAAATAAATCAGAAGTTTAAACAGCTATGGTGATCTGTATGGCAATATTCAGAAGTTTAAATACAAACATGGATACTGTGTTTTTGTTGCTGTTTGGTTTTTTAAGAGGACAGTTCATGGTCTTGGCTGTGTTTCCTGGTGTTAAGAAGCATTTTAGTGGTGAATGGATTACATACTGTTCAGCTGAGAACACCAAGGAATTTGTGTCTGKAATGAAAGGTAAAAAATATTTAACTTCTAGCCTGTTTCCAGATGCAGAAAGAGTTACCACAAAACAATGACAATTGCATGTGGAAGGCTTGACATTTAGCTTCCCCTGTGTGTTTTACCTTTTATGAGGAGGAGGAYTGGAGGAAATGGTTTTAAAAATATCACCAGCGGGTGACTGACATGACAGGCCCATCTGTATAAATAAGTTTCTGTGCTTAACACATCCATGTGTGTATATGAGGTGGAAAAAACATTTGCAAATAAACCACAAATGCAATCAGTTTTGGTTTTTTTTGAGGCATGCTGCTTTCAGTGACTGGCAAAAAGCTGATACTACTCTTCTTTGGCTTCTACGTGGTGCCCACATCTTTTGTTCCCAGTGTTTTCAAACACAGGCATGAATGTTTAAAAACATATTTGCATTTTTGCTACAGCTAMATGTTTGCTCTGCTCTCCCTCTGGAATGAGGAGGTGGCATTTTGCAGGCAAACCTGTCGTGGCAAGGTGGTGTTCTGTGTGCTGACAGTRGTATTTAGAGCATGGTGTTTTGTTTGCTAAAACTTCTGAAAAAAATGAAACAAGCCAAACCCCTATCTGCATTTAGGTTTGGCTCCTCTTTCTCTCAGTTTCCTACAAGATGTGCATACCTTACACAGTTTAGTAGGGTGGACCACAGTAGSTGTGGAATGCTTGGAGTTTGCAGCTGTTCTGAGCAGGAACGAACCTCAGCCTGGTATTTTAACCATACATTTTACRGAAACTTTCTGCACCAGGTGAATTGTAGCAGGGAGTGTTCCTACAGCAGTGGGAATTCCTGCACCTTACAGTTTCTGCTTTCTGTGGCAGTTTTTGTCTGGACATGGTGTATAGAGCWGATGGGCTGATGCAAAGGCACTCAAGGATGTAAAAAAAAAACCCACTGTGTGATTCTTGTTTTAGTAACAGTGGTGCTGTGCCTAACATGGGTGACCTTCGTGCCTCTTCTGACTCAGACAAACCCTGCAAGAACACTCGATGTCTGACAGTGCTCTGTTTTGACCCAAACCCATTCATTTCAGTATGGATGACATAATTCAAGATGGTTTTCTGTGCTGCACCTTGGCTTCATTAAAGCACTACAGCAAACAGTTGTGCTACGTGCTCATGGGTGTGCCATGGGCYTTGCAGGGTCACTTGCTGTTTTGTCTCAAGGCCTGTTTCTGATGTCCTGGTTATCTTGCAGTGCCACTTGAAGATGAGAAATTTTAATCCCCAACTCTTGTCACCTAGGGCTTAGCAGGAGGTGGAGAATGTTTCTCAGGGGTTATGTTAGAGCTSAGGAGTCTCAGATGAAAAAGCAGTGCATGTCCTTGACTAAATGGAACCACCCAGAGCTGAGGGTGAGGTTTTCAAGGACTCAAAACCATTATCTGATTCTTCAAGGTTAGTTGGAGGCAGCTGTGATTTCTTCGCTGTTAAATTTGGCAGAAATGTCATGTGGTGGTTGCTGATGTTGTGGGGAATACATGAAATCATGTGCATAATTTTTGAACCGACATCACTAAATAACCAAGAATCCAATTTTAACAGCTGTTATAAAGTAACATTAAATGGTCCTTGAAATTACTTTTTTTTTTTCCCCACCAAAGTGAGTATTTTCTGCAGTTGCACCCCTGACTCTTTTCTGGGTTAGGAAAAGGTAKCCTTCATCTCCTGCTCTTTGTAATCAGGATGCCTTTGTAGATTTTCCTCACTTCCTCACTTCCTTTGTCTCTTCATCTGTATATGAGACAGAAAAAAGTGAAAGGTGGCAAAAAGCTTCTGTGAATTTGAAGATTATTCATAGAACGTGGTATCAGATAATGTAATGGTAAGGACTGCTGTCCAAGATCTGTCGGTACAAAGGACCCATTGAATTATGTATGGTGCCATGTTGACACAAACTAAGGCGAAATTGAGGAGATTTTTACTAAACAAATTACTGTTGTTTGCTAATCTAACRCTGTGAAATCTGACCAACACAAAAGAACATGTCTTACAGGAAAAGTTCCAAGTTGAAAAAAAAAAAAAATTCACTATGTGTGTGCTCTGAACAAGGGCCTCTAGTGCTACTATTTTCTAAGGTATACTGGTGATTTCACAAAATATTTTTTGATAAAATTGTCCAAACTTACAAAGCTTGGAAAAGCATTGGAATATTTCCGCATCTCTTCTGCAGACAATKACGTGACTTTTCTGAGAAGGGGTGTCCTCCAGCAGAGCAGACAGCTAAGGCACAGATTGTAAAATAAATAGTARAAAAGGGAGACTGATCTGATGTGATTTTTAAGAGTGCAGACACTGAGAACTTTTGTGCCCTTGATGTAGACATCAGCCAAATTCCTCGCTAACTTGGGACAGAAAAATTAATGCAGCCAGAGGAAGAGTGAGGCTATATATCCTATCACAGGCTGCATTTGTTGTTTTTTGTTTTTGGTTGGTTTCTTTTTTAATGATTCAAATAATTATGAAAGGGATTGTTTGTTTACAGGTTTACAAAGGGATCTTAGAGGCCACCCTTTTCAGCACAGAAGCTGGACAGGAAAGAGAGAGCTTGGGGCTTTCCAAACRCCGTCAGCTGTGTCAGGCTTGGGGTGAAACCTCACAAAAACCTGGGGAGAGATTTGTCCTGRCTGAGCCAAGCAGGGAAGCATCAGACTCTGTTGTGGATGCTTATATTGAATTACTCTAGCTGAGAAATGAACCTTAATTTTCAGTGTCTAGCTAGCAGCAGCCACAGATTAGGAGACGGGGCAGAAATGTTAATTTCATTGAGAGTTGACACGGAGGAGAATTGTTTTAGGAAACGAGGCAAGGAACTCGCTAAAGCTTTCTTGTGTGTCTTGGTAATAAACCAACTTCATTAATGTTTTGTAATCTCCTGAAGGCAGTATTAGAGAGAAGGGTTTTTTTTTCTCCTGTAGTCAGAGAAGACTATAGGTGAAAAATATACCTTATATTTTATAATTTTGTTACTCTTGTCTCTTTTAGGGATTTGTTTTATTAACCCGGACTATCCTAAAACCACTTAACTTTTTCTTTAAATAAAGCGGTAGAGGAGGAATTTTTTAGTTTATAGAGTTAAYTTGAGGCTCGCATTTTGAGTTTGGTACTTTTGACAGTGCAAGACAAATAAGAATATTTGTAACACTGAAAGAGAGGCAAAYGCAGTAGCAGCTTCTTTATTTAAAACGGTGCACAAAGGCTGGGGGTTTTTGTGCTCAGGTACCTGCATTGTTTCAGGGCCATTGTGTTTGCTCACTGTTGTGTTTCAGGTAGCGATGTGCAGCTGCAGCTGGGAACCAGAAAGCCCAGAAACACAGGAGGTGAAGTGCTCCCCAACAAACACTGAGACTTTTTGTGAAAATGTTTGTCCCTTCTGTGCCGTTTCTGTGCCCCACTCCCCGTTTTTTGTCACTATTATCTGGAAAAGCAGCGACTTCCATTCTTAGCATGGCACTCCGAGACCTCTCTGATGCTTCACATCTCTGCTTTGTAGTAATTTGCATTTTTAAGATCTCGAACTCGTGTCTAACCRGAGCAGTGTCAAAGCACTTCTGTGCTGTATTTTACTAATGAGTGCTTAATTGCCCTCTCAGCTCAAGTCCCAGTGGCGTTTTTCCACKGGTGTGCCCCTGCTGTGTCCTCATCTCAGCCTGCAGATTTCTTTTCACCCYAATGCAAGCATTCTTTAGGAGCTGTAAAGGAACACTAATATTGAAAAACTGCTTTCTTTGAGTAGATCCGCCACTTAGCATCAAGTGTTTTGGATAAAG